GGGTTAATTAACCGCAAACTGTAGAGAGGGTTCGGTAAAAACACGAGAGTAAAAAAATTAAGTAATTTTATCTTTTTTTTTATTTTATTTATATATATATATATATATATATATATATCTGTTTCTTTCACAATATATCATTTGTAAGCAGCAAAATTTTTATCTACGCAAAAGTAATAAATCGTTTCTTCTTATTGAAGAAGAAACGTAAACAAAGAACAAACTTATAAATTTTTTCTTGTATTTCTTTTTTATTTATTCTCTTATCGTTATAAATTATTTGCCAAACTTCAAAATTTTGTATTAATACATAAAGAAATCCATGTGTAAAACTTATATTGAATAATAAGACAGGAATTAATCAGTTGCAATTTCTAATAATCATCACGATGGGAAAAAGTAGACGAGTTATTTAACGCTATTTTGTAATAATAGGTTGCAGCAGTACACTTTCGACACTCCCGAAAATTGAGGAAGGAGATGCACTGCGCTTATCGCATTTTAATACGATAGCCCGCAGCTATCGTTGCGTTTGCGACGTTCTCCTCCCTTTTATACCAGGATTTTATCGCCGGCGTAAACCCTTCTCTCCGTTATCGCGCTTCCTCGCAAACGTACAGGCTTGATAAGGTCAAGAGAAACGGCAGACGACATCGCGACGCCGTTAGCCGTTAGTCTTCAAGTCGATCGAATCCCATAGGACGCGCAATAAAAGTATGCGAGCCACGTACGAAAGAGCTACTAAGAATCACTTGACTCTACTCGACCTCGTCGCTGACTTGGTCCAAATATCACGCGCACGCCATGGGAAAAAAATTATTGTGCAGTATTTCTTCTTTATAACCGCGCATATAATTCTCTCTTGTGAGAATTGTCTACGCTATATAGACTACGTTATACAGAACGTGTGTGATTCTTTCAAGAGATTCTTCTCTTTTTCACGTTTCTTTTTACAACTTTTTAAATAAAGAAAGTTTATTTTATGGAAAATTGTTTACAAAACGAGAAGAGTAAGATTAGTTGACGTAGAGTTATGTGTTAATAAATGCATCGCAGACGACAACAGTCCAAAATCTTAGATATACAATATGATTTAATTAATCTTTGAAATTAACGATCAATGGCTAGTTCACTGATCTTGGAATCCGAACGCAAATCTAAGAATATCGGTTTACTTTAGAACGCTACTTATGGAACTACCAAGCCGGCGTAATCCGCTTTAAGGACAGAAGCATTCATTTTGAATTCTCGCTGTGCGATCGATATTTCCAAAGTTCCAAGAAAAGGTTGAAGAGAAGATGGTGAAAAGGCATCGAGGATGTAGTCGATTCACGCGAATGCGTATGATCACGATATAGAGGATGGACGAACCTAGTGCGTCCTGGCGAAGAGATCACTGAGAGGATGCACAAGCATACCAGCCAGCTTCGCGGTCCAGGTGGCCATAATGGCGGCTGTCACGGCGCTAACAGGGGCCCAGTGAGGAGATGGAACAGCTTCCATGGTGGTGGCGGCGGTGGCGGTGGTGGTGGCGGTGGCGGTGGCGGTGGCACGGGTAATTTCAACGATGGCGTTGGGAACGGCGGCATAGTCACGAAAGCCTGTCAGGAGCCCTTCAGGGCCGTGCCTAAGGTGGTGCAAGCCCTCAGGAGCGAGTCCGTCGATAGGACTCATCGAGCTCAGCTACCGCCACCTCCCGCCCCCTTTCCCAAGAGGAGATTTTCCGTGTGGTGAGTCCTCGCAGGATTACATTGAGGAAATTTCGACTTTTGATTGCGAAAATTACTTGTTGCTACTATTATTATTATTATTACGATGTGTCGAGGGAACAGGTATATATGAATTGTCTCTCGGATTGCATGGACAGTTAGAAATAAATTAATATAATCGCAAATAACTCATATATATTAAGGTAATTATTATAACAATTACAGATTCTCTATTAGCAGCTGATTGATATATTTTTAACTATTGATACCTAATAAGCTGTTATAAAAGCAAGCGTATAATCTCGTTTGCATGTAAAGTCATTCTTGTTCTATACTTGCGTGATTACAAGTTACCTATACTTCACGTAAGCGATGTGTCTGAATTACCTGTTGTTTTCACTTCTATAAGTTGATAAGTAGGTAAGTATTATAGCTCAAAACCACAATCTTGGTTTAGTGTTGCGAAGTATATGTATAACTTCTTATGTTTTGCTCGTTCTCTTTCCTCTCTCTCTCTTTCTCTTATTTTGTTAAATGTAGATATAAACTTGGGTAATTTAAAATATCTAGCGGTAACTTTGCGTAAAAAATTTGTTTCATTTATAACTGCTTTTGCGCTCAAGATATTTTAAAATGAGTATTAGACATTGCTACATTACAAAAAGATATTTAACCCTGCCCCTAGCGGAAGTAGTTGATGGACAATTTCGCGCTTTCGACCGCGTGAAAGAGGAGCAGTGAATAATAGTGCAGTGAATAAGATTAAAAAGAAAGGATAATAGAAAGGGTAATAGCTCTAACGACGTCATAGAAATATTTCATTAGGTTGAGTGGATCCACGTGGCTCAGTGTTGTGAAATGGCACGGATAATTTCGCAAAATGGACGCCGTTGGGGAGCAAAAATGAATGAAAGAGGGAGAGAGGATGAGAGAGAGAGAGAGAGAGAGAGAGAGAAAAAGCGAGAGAAAGAATGCTAAGGCATGCGGGATCGTCGACAATGAGGAGACTGCTGTGGCTACGCGTCGGTCTCCGTAAGATCAGAGCGAATTATAACGAGCCGTCCCCTGCGGGTATATTTCGGGAAATGGGAACAGAAAGGCATGACCGGACAAAAGTTTGCGCCGAGACTTCACACGCCGGCGCCGCTGCGGAATAAAGCGGACGCGACACTCGATACGACGCGCGCGGCGTTTCGATTGCTTCTGTTACGAGTACGAGCGTTGCGTTGGTTGGCGGAAAACAAGCTAAAGGTACGCGGTGAATCGCTTGCTAAATCGTTGAAAGTACCTATATTAAGTACCGCTTCTGTTAAATTTTGCTTTCTGTATTCAGTTACTAGTTCTTGTTTTCGAGTATATATGTAGGTAGGTATACACACCGCATAGACCGTATAAAAAGCTATATTTCCAATATTATCGCTTTATGGCGTATTTCATGTAACATTTATTATTCTTATAAATATTCAAGAAATTATTTGTCAACCATCTGACGAACTGAATATCCGAGTGTTAAAATGTCAATCAATTTAGAGCGTCAAGTAAATCTAATATAATATATGTTTATTTTTCTACAGAATTTTAGAATGTCAACAATATTACAGAATGAGATATATTTTAAAACTATTCCGTTTATATTTACGCATTTAATTTAATTTTACTTTAGTTTTTTAATACGTTAAAGTTATCTTTCGTCCAATCGATCGAATAATAGCTAATGTGCGACTATAATCCAAATTAATTCGACAAATATTTTCGGCGAGATCGATCGTTTTCTCTAAGTAAAAGCGGAAATGTCGGCGCACGTGCAAATAGCGGGTGACCTAGATGCCTAACGAAATAATCCTGAGGAAGCGAAACGATCGAGTATAAAGCGACGTTTACAGGGTTAACTCGCGATATTAGGCTTGAAAGACGGAGAAGCCGCGGAGCGTCATCCACGCGAATTCAATTTTCTGCGATGTACGAATGCACATGCACACAGGATACACACACCCACACGCACGCACACGGGAGAGCAATACGTTACGGATGCGTTACGCGTGCGTTACGCATCGCGGCTCCGTTTGTGTGTTTAAGTCGAGGGAGGAGCGGGATAACACGCGGGTCAACAGCCTTCGACAACCTTACGGCCTTCTGCAACCTCTCTTCCTCCTTCCCTCTTTCCTCTACCTATACCATCTCGGTTTTCCGATTCTCGGTCGGTCGAGCATCGACATTCGATTCACGGTCGTCACCGTTAAATTGAGAGGACTTTCCGCGGTGAACGATATCTCCAGATGTGAAAAAGCAAAACGCGCTCCGAGAACGGGAAAGAACATTTTCTTATCAACGCCAACGATGTGATTGTTGTCCTTTAATTTGTACAAATGTTATTACGTTCTTATTTTATAGTACTTTTCCATTAAACGAATAGAAAATTAATATATTATGTTTTATAATCTACATTATTAGATAAGATATATATATATGTATAGCTCTTTCTTTAATATACTAATTTTGAATAATCGATAGTTACTTTTGATGGAGATTTCATCTCTTAATTTATGGCGTTCAACTTACGTAAGTTCAACAACGATATGGGGAGGTTTGATGTTACGCTATAATACTTTCTATCAAGAAAAACGATTTTGGTTTGGGCAATCACATTTCGGCAGCTTCCATCTCATATCTGTATAACCGCTGCAGATTTTCGTACATCGCCGAAAATTGGTTGAACCGTTTGTGCTTTTATGACTAATTTGAGGAGTGCCCTTTTCGACGATGGGGAACATCTGTCGATGGCGTCGTAGTACCCAATATTGGTAGTAGAAGTTAATGCTGGGGCGTAGAACGGCGTCACGGAATAATAGGTGTTTGCGCGAGCGTGCGAACACCCTCGTATTGTCGTTCGATTCGAAACGATGCGAAATTGAGGGGTTTATATGATGAATTTTTGAGTCTCCCCTTTTTATCTCCTTGAGATGTACGATACTCAAAAAAGCCAGACTCTGTTGATCCTTAACAATAATCTGCTACTCTTTTTTGTATAAAGACTATATATAAAATATATTTTATTTTTTTTTTATCAGGATTTTTTTTTAAACAAATAATGATTTACATTTAATTCGATTTTAAGAAATTTATGAAATTTACTTTCAGATTTATTTAATAAATTTTGACGTAAGATATTTTTATATCCTATTACGGAATTTCTTAAATATAAATCTAAAAATCTGTACTTGAGATATGTAATGATGTTCATATAATGCGATGAATGTTTTTATGGAAAAATATTTTTTATTTTTGTTACAGCTTCGGGAAGCGGACGGGTGGCAGCGCCAGGCGACCCAACGAATGCTTCGTTCTCGAGCCCTCCGAGATGATTGTCGTGAGTAGAGCTTTGCTTCATATTTGCGATAAGCATTGAGATGAAAGAAGAAACTGTAGGAGAAAATGTGTCTGGATCGTTAACGGTTTTGAGAAAGTTTAGCCACAAAGGAACGCTTTGTTAACTTTGTTTATTCAGTTTTACGAAGAAGCGAGTTACCCGCGTTTTCCGCGCACACGTATACACTGACATGAGTACGTTATTTCAATCAAAACTGGACGAGCAAGCGTAATTTTTTTTTCTGGTCGGTTTACTGCGGAACGTGAAACGGTTGCGGCTGCGGCAAGCGTTTACGAGATATTCTCCGAGTGCCACGCTACGCCAAGTGCGGCGTAAGCGGCGCGGCGATACCGCGCGGCGAAAAGACAATGCGCTCCGGACGCTCGCGAGACATAACGTGGCGGACAGTTAATCGATAGTTTCTCTCTCGGTATTATGCTCAGGTTCAGAAGAGTTTTGGAATCCCCCGTCACGCGCTCTCACAGTTAGCTCGTTTTATTTCGTTTCCAGTGGCGCGGTCGATTCGCGACATGCCGAAATTAGGGCAAACTCTTAGACGTGCGGGACTAAATAACTCTCGATGGAAGTTGCTTTTTTCGCAAATCGCGAATCTTAGGAATACCTCGCGTCTTTCGACTTTAGACGTTGACAGAGTTGACAGAATTTTCGCGACGGAAACGTTGCGATTTTGTTTTTAATCTTCCCAATGGATTTTATATTATTTATAGTATTTAGTTTATAAATTTTCAGATGAATAGAAGAAACGTTGCAAATCTCGAAATTTAATTTAAACATCATGTTTTATATTTTATTATCCAGTTTTTAAATAAAAATTTGTTTAACGCATTATCTTGTTTTTTATTGATTTTATTTTCTTATTGAATTAAGCACTTTTTATTTTACATAGAGAATCTCTACTAAAGAATAAAGCACTTTAATGAATCTTGGTGAAAAATGAAAGAAGCGAATAATAAATAATTGAAACGATTTTTTCTGTAAAGGAAAAGTTAAATGCCAATATTTTCTTTTGGAATGCTTCGTGGGTTTTTATTAAATCATTCTGAAAATGTGAAACGACTATCGCGTAAGTCAGGTTTAATTACGTTTGTAGTTGCAACATTAATTGGAGAGTTGCACGGAATGTTCTGATATTGCAGGTGAACTTTATTCGAACAAGTTGTTGGAAACGCTGGTTTGCATCTCTAATTATACTGTGTGGACAGAAAATTAAGTTTCTGATTTGAGCTGCCATCTGTAACCGCATTCTAAACTGCTTTACCGACAAATTGTGTGATACTACTTGTTGATGGTCGATTAATCGTCAGTCATTATGATGGCCATTAGATATTCTAAAAAACTAAGAAAGATATTTTGATGTATTTGTGTGTTTAGGGTTTATAGAAAAAAATTTTTTTAAACATTATCTTTTATTAATTTTTTTTCTTTTTATATTTGGATTATTTTTTATGCACAGCATCGTGTTAATTCTATTACAACAAATTTATTAAAGAAGAAGCTTTCTTACTATTAGTGCAATGTAATTTTTATAATTAGACGACTTTAGAAAATTAATACCTACTTTCTAGTTTTTGATTTTTAGTTTATAATAGATTTAAAAAAAGTACTTTAATATTTTTAATTATTTAAATTCGTAAAATTTGTAAGAAATATTATGGCATTACATTAGCGTTACGTTAAGTTTATCCGACTTGGTTGTAACAGAAGCTATAGTCTATCGCGGATTAAACTGGTTTAGTTCCGCGTTCAATATCAATCAGATTCGGCTTTCAATTACGCGCCCGGGTTACTCGAATACAATTTGTATCCGAGCTTTGTATTAATCGACGCACTCTATTCCCAATTTTGCTTTACCCGGACAGTTTAACAATGGTTACATCGCTCGTAATAACCACGCATACTGTTTCCCGCCGCATTGAACTTTGAAATTTCGCAGCGCGAAACACTCGTTTTGCCCGAGTTGTTATTTCGATACGTTAATTATAAAATTTACTCACCTGTACCCAACACGGAATTCTCCATGAATCGTGCAACTTTTTTCACCTATAACCGATGATTTTCTATGCAATAGGAAAATAACGCAGTTCTCTGTAGAATTTGATATGTAATACAATGTAATTTGTTTTTTATATTTGTCGTTTAATATCGTTTTACAATGTACGTTTTATTTCGTGAAAAGGTCATAAAATAGCTTATGCAAATCAAAAGCGTACCTCTGAAAATGTTAAAATAATATGAACGACTTTTTTGATTTATTTAATTTTTCTACACGCACGCGAGACGCGAAATATTGGGACGGGAATATTTATCGTAAAGATAGCAACATTTATCGGCTTTGACAAGTTCCGGTCGTGTGTTTGCCGATGAGTGGAATTTTTTCTTTCACGCAATGCCAGAAAAAATATCGACAGCATTCGCGTGTACCGCGTGGCAGGCAGGTGGTACGTGGTACACGCGAGTTCACGTGTATCCTCGGGCGACTCTGTGACCTGTACGCGAATTGGACGTCTGACCTTTAACCTTCCTCCCGCGCTACCGTGGCACTTTATCCCTGTCGCTTCGCTCACACGCGCCACCCGAGAGCTCATTGTGCGGGGTTCCATCGCTGACGCTCGACGCTTCGGATGAAGATTAATCATCGCCGTGAAGTCTACTTGCGGACAAATACCGCGCCCTAATGCTGAAACAAGTATATCTAAATATATATTTTATGGATGTTAGAAACTCGAATATTTCTCTGTTAGCCTCGCGGATTCTTCAATTAATTACGACTTATTTTCGACGTACCGTTTCTTAAATGTCAAAGGACTAACAATCCAAGTTACAAACGACTAAGAACGAATCTTGCGATTATTTTTTCTGCTATTTATTTTTGTAGCCATTGCGAACGAGTTTTAATGCTAAAACTAAGAAAACTGGTATTACTTGTGGGTTAATTGAAATATAAACAGAGTGTTACATCGCGCAGGATGCGGGTATTAATTACATAACCGAGCACATTTTTCGCGCGTATCCTTCGATTCATTAGCGTGTGCAGTTTTCAAGAAGCTTATCTCCAGTGACGAAACAGCGTCGGGCGCCTAAAACCACGTCGCGGTGTCTGACGCCGTGTGTATGATGCGTAAATCATCTTTGTTTCTTATGGAACTCGAGCGCCGATTATACGACTTATTTACATACGTGCAGCAGAACGAAGAGACGTCAACAGATTGAAAAAAATGCAGATGGATAACATTGCTAATTCTGTTAATAGGTATTTTCTTAATTTTATTGATGGTAACATTCAATCATATATTCCGATAAATTCCGTGCGACTTACATTTTACGTTTATCAATGTTTATCGGCTTTTTCTATGTCTTCCAAATGGATAAAACTTGATCTTTTTGTAATCGTTAAAAATTCCAATTACGCTGTTCGCACATTCGTAAAATATAAAAAGAACGTTATTTCGTTAAAGTTATGAGAGCGATGACGATCGACGACCGACGCTCGCAAAAACTGTACGTCTATGCTTTAGGTGAAGTTGCACGAGATTCTCGTTATCGAAGAATAACGATAATTAAAGGAAGCCATCGGCAATTTTCGTTGTCCGTTGTATCGTTTATCGAGAAAGTCAATCGTCATTTACGTTCGGGAGGCAACGAAACTTCCGGTACGATGATATCGTTTTTTCATGCGAGCAGAAAGTTATCTCTCAAAGGAAAACCTCCTATTTACGCGGAAAAGTACGCGCGCATCGGCGAGGCCAATTTCCACAGGAAAACCGATAACCGGAGGCGAATCGATCATTACGGTCGCCATATACGGAACGAACAAATACGGAAACTTCGCTTCTACGGAGACCAACAAGTTGCAGCTGTAATACCGTTTTGCGCCGCGAATAATCCGCTCAGCGAGCATTACTCCGTTTCCTATCGCGTACATTTCTCTCGCTTTGCCGTGCAAACCGTCACTAGAGGGCTGGGCTATTCGATGGAAAAGTATCCTGTGCGCACTTGCAAAAGAAATATAGAGAAAAATGTGCCGATACAGTATAGCAGTGATAGACGTAGAAAAAATAATTGCGCACGATTGCAATGTTGCTATAATTTCCGTACCGGTCTGTTCCACGTACATGCGCACGTTCCGTACACCCAATTATGCAATTATACAAATTATGATCTTTGTCCCATGATTATTTCTCACCGACCTAGATGTAAGCAAGTCTGCCGAGTCACTTTTCCGCGGGTAATGCGGGAGGTAAATCGTTCAATTTCCATACCATTCAAGTCCATACCGAGAGAGATGTCAAGTTCTCGTATGGTGTTTCTTCTTTTTTTAATTTAATTGCGGTTGTATTAAAAATATACAATAGTCATGAGAATATTCGATGTAAATATACGCGCATTTACGTAAGAATCACGACCGATGCCACATCCGCCATGCGTAAGCGCCTTTTGGATAAGGATTCATTGCGGGGATCTCTGCGTACAGGAAGTTTGAGTATAATCGGGGCCGTGACTCGTCATGGTATTACTCAGATTTCAGTTTTATCTTCAGACTCTTTTAACACCCGCTGCTACTCACGAAGGGGCTTTTCTGCAGGATATTTATACGACGTGTACTTAGCGTTAAATGTAGCTACTTAATATTCATGCAACGCTGAATGAGATTTTCATATTAAACAAGCAAAACTCGTATAAAGGCGACTTAACTTAATTTTATACAAGTTTAATTTAAAACTTTGAAGAAAATGATATAATATATATATTATATATATATATATATATATATATATATATA